AACAGATCGGGTTCTGACCCACTTCTGTTGGCAGGGTCTCCCGAGAGACTCCCTTCTCGAGAGACAGGTCCTGAGGGCATTGCCACGGCTCAGGTGGGAATGGACATGGAATTATCATAATCTTTATACCGTTCCTTTGCCTGTTCTAGTGGACTTTTGTATAGTACTTTCGAGCACATCAAGTATATCTCTATAGGGACCCTAGGGCTTGAGGTACATCACATTGGTGGCTCGCCCGGAGGGCCCCCGCGGAGCGCGGGATTCGCGGTCAGGAGCTGCCTGAACCTCCTGAATCACCAGGTCCAGGTTGGGTAGGTTGGTTGGGTTGGCAATCTTTTTCTACATGTCACCCCATGCCAATCAGCACCCTCACTAACCCCAGGGTCAGCAGGTTTGAGATCTCTTGGGAGGGCCCGCAAAAAGACTGAACGCCTCTTTTTCGAGGACACCGGTTGGTCGTCGAGTGCTGGCAGCTTTGCCGGTGATGTCACTGAACCCGGAACGAGTGCTGATTCGTTCTGAATCAAGAACGAGATACGATACAAGAGACACGAGACGTCTCGATGGCCTTCCAAACAGATGGCTGCCTTGTTTCTGGGCACCTTCCACCATTTCCTCCTGGGAGGGCCATTTTCCCATGTAATCCCTTTTCTCAAAGAAAAGCGGGTGGATCTGTTCATTTGAAGGGGTCAATTCTCAAATGGTGCCCGGATGCGACCCACCCTTTCCGGCGATGGAAGAGGATGAAAATACATCCGATCCTAGTCCTGAGAAGAAGACAACTGCTGGAGTCTGATGGTGTTCTCAAGTTCGTCTGCTTTTTGGGCAGAACGTTTTTCATTGGCCAAGACGTTCCTTATTGAGGCTTTATACCAGGACACCCGGACACGGGGTGTCTATGTAACCTAGTATATTGTATGTATTGTCTTGCGATGTAAGGCTCTGCTGTCCACACCTAACGTGAAGGTGTTTCGAGCGAATGATACCGTTTGTTCGGTGTTTCCCGGTCACCACCTGCGGTTGGGTCTCTTTACGCAGCCAAACCTTGAAGGTAGATTCTTGAAAAAAGGTCATAAGACATGGTGTTTCAGGACTCCCACAGTTCACTCCAACACCTTCGCCAACCCGGCACATGGCATAGGTGGCTATTTCCTGGAGGCGCCCCGTAGGCACTGCCGTGCTAGCGTCCAATCCCAGGAGCGCTCCCAAGTGTTCCAGCACTTGGTGGTACCTGTTGCATGCCTGACTCTTCCTGGTTTGAGTGAAGAAGGAAACCCCAGAGAAAAAATAAGGACATCTCCAAACGGCGAAGATCTCCGCGTCCAAAACGGAGGGGCCGAGAAGTAAAGCGAAGTCCGCGGTCTCGCGTGCCATTTGGCAGGAGATTCCGGAGCCTCCTGAATCACCAGGCTGGGGTGCTGGCAAGCCACTGTAGCATGTAGGACCATGCCATCGAACACTGATCGTTGATCATTGACCAAAACGACCCCAATTTCAAACCATGAACCTATCATTAGACCTCCTAGGGTCACAGATGCTTTCCTCAAAAGCCATGGTCGCCACCGAACGGACGACCATGGCTTTTTCAGAGACACCGGTTTGTACGGACCGAGTGAAGCAGGCGAGCTTGGCCACGGCCCTCCGCGAGCTCAGCGAGCTCAACGGCCGTATGAGCTGCCCGAGCCCCCCTGCGTGGTGGAGGCGACTCCTCCCGAGCTGCCTGGGGCCATGTGTTGGGAAGTCACTCTCCAAAGGGCTTCTGTGCCGCATCGCCGAAGGTAGTTAGACCAGACCCAGCGGCCCAGACGCCCAGACGCATTCGAGCTCCGTCCAGTCGACCGCATCGTCCAGGAGCCCCCAGAACCGCCGGACTCCCCACAGGATGCAGGTGGGTGGGTGGGTCGGACGTGGACGGGTGCGGGCGTTGGACGTGCGCAACGAACAACCTCTTTGGCAGTTTTTGTTCAGAATCTTTTGAGTGCACAGAACACAGTGCTCCGTAGCACCTGAGCGCACAGAACACCGATGTACTGAGCACCAACTGTTGGACCGACGACCGGTCCACCGCCAGATCGGTCGACGGCGGGCGCGGAGCGCGCACCTCTGGTCGAAACCCGCTGACGAGTCGTCGCGGTCCGCTGACGTAGCCATTGGATTTGAGAGTCTTTCATCTTCACCAAATGAATTGACTGAGGTTTCACCGAACACTTCTTTCCTTTCCTTTCCTTTTGTTTTTCAAAAGCAACAGGTTTCACCCAAAAACACCAGGTCTTCTATCCATCGCAGGCCTTCGGTCTCCTGCGTGGGTCGGTCTTTAGCCTCCCGAGCCTCTTGGAGGCTTTGGAGCTGACGGCCGACGCGGCACACCGGACAGCGGCCGGAAGGGGCGAGGCACACGGGCCAGCGGGTGAATGGGATGAGAGACCAAGGGTCATTCAGATTTGGTGGAGAAACATATATACCCTACAAGTCCAAAGACTATATTTCGCCCCCCTGAAGTAAAGCGTATTCCTTTTCCGGTCACCTAAAGACCATTCTTGTGATAGTCTTTGACTCCGCGGGTATATATACCAGGACCACGGAGTTCGGGTGGTCGGGTGGTTTATGGACACCCCTTTCCCGATGTATGACTTCATCCAATAACACATTCCTTCCGTGGTCCTGGTATATACATACGAGGATATCTACCTGGCTTCTTCAGTTCGTGACCTTTGTGGAGTCCCAGCCATTGACCTATCTAAAGAATTCTAAAGATATAGTTGGTGTGAGTGTGAGCGTGTGTTCTTATGCGTGGCAAATTTTGGGGTGCATGAAGGTGCGAGTGACCTGTTTCCATGGTTCTCTCGAACGTCGATGGCGAAGAACCAGGTCTTAGCTAGGCATCCACCGTTCACAGGGTGTAGGAGCAGGTGTGTCCCTGTCGGTGGACTATGAATGTCTCTTAATGAGCGGAGATGGTGGAGTGCTATAGGGGACCTTTCCTGATGTCCCCAGGTTCCTTTGAACATGTTCAACGAAACAGCGGACAAACCACATACTTCACAATTCACAATGAGCCAAAAACCCACCCCAATCCCCCAAACCATCTGGAAAACCATCTAATAAGATCTATACCCTAGAAGTCCAAAGACTATATTTTGCCCCTGAAGTAAAGCATATTCCTTTTCCGGTCACCTAAAGACCATTCTTGTGATAGTCTTTGACTCCCAGGGTATAACAAGTGGACCCTTTTGGTGTCGGATTCGGTCCAAACGGCGGCCGAATGCCACACCAAGCTGCCGGGTTCAACAGGGCCGAAGCTTTTCTTGCCCATGCCGATGCCCTGCCAGCTCGAGGACCGCAACGAAGTTCGGGCGGGGTGGTTTTTAGAACTCTGGCCGCCTGAGAAGAATCTCCTCCTGAATAAACCTTTCATGGCTTTCCACTTCTGTGTAAACGTGAGTTGAGTATAGTTGAGCGATGTTGAGCGTATTCTAGTCAAGCAGACGTTTGTTGGCACAGTAGGCAAATTTTCTTGAAGTAACCCCCACGTCCACATGTCCTACTGTTCATTGCTGTTCCAAAGTTTTTTTGTAGGAGGAGTTCGTTTTTGGGCTCTTCCCACGTGACAAAGCACTGCATGGTGGCATGCATCTGCCACTGGGTGTTTCAACACCCCAAGTCTGTTGACCTGCAGGAGCAACACCCACCACCCGAATCTCCAGGCCAGGTCGATCTGACGGGACGTGACGACCGACGTGACGTGCAGACGGGCTTGCCTAGCTGTCTCCAGTTGGAACGACCGGTCGGAGACGGGTGGGATTTGTGTGGAATCCTCGATTCATCTCAATGCTACCCCAACCACCATGGGTGGTTTGTAGCGAACCTGCATGAGCAACACACTGGAGTTTCACGCTGCATGTCCCTGTTCCCCATGTCTCTTGTTGTCGTTTCTTCTTTCCCGTCCTTCACCAAAGACAAGAAGCACCATTTCGGCCACGTGTCGCCGTCCTTCTCTTCCATGTCTTTGGCGCCGTTTTCGCTCCACTCTCAGCAGCATTCTCTCTTCCACCACTCCGGCAGGGAACTCCAACAGAGGCGGATCAGAACTCGTCCCATAGGTACAGGACGGATCGGACGGATCGGACGGATCGGACGCGGTACCCGTCGCGGTCGAGGCACGCCGGAGCCTCCCTGGACGCCGGAGGAAACGGAGAGTCCCACGGCGACGGCGGTCGAGGCGGAGGGGAAGAGGCGGTTTTGCTCGGGCGGTGAGGTGGAGGTGGACGTGGATGAAGTGGAGGTGTTCGACGACTACTTGGGGGGCTCGCCGACTCGCATCATCTGAGTAATCTGAACATATCTGAACATCGTCTTGGACTTGGGTGGAGCACCTCAGAACTCCAGGCTGCAGATGGAGCTGCTGGAGCATTTGGTGCAGATTGCAAGGCTACAGAGTCCCCAATGACGCTTTCGATGGAGGATGTTGCCCTTTGAAGCGACGTGTTTTTCTTGGAAAGAGATTCAATCCATCGGTTTTCACCTGCTTTTCACCTGCTTTTCACCTGCTTTTCATGGTTCTGGGACTTAGGACCATGATCTCAAACCCTGTGGGGTGTGGGGTTCTACACCACGCCTCATGGTGTGTATGTCTCCACCGACTGACTGGTGCGGTTTCCCTGCATGTGACGAAGATGAAACTTCACTTCGCACCCAAGAAAACCACACATTTGGCACATGGCTTTTGGTTAGACTTGGTTAGACATCTGATTGTTGGAGAACCCTCCAAGATCTGGTGACCACTGGTCTGGTCCAGGCCGGTCTGAGGAGGGTTCGAAGGTCCCCCCCTGACGGACTCGGGTTTCGGTCTGACTCGGATCGTCGGTGCGCTTTTGGACCTCGACGTTCCAAACAGAATGGGCAGCCAGCTACTTCGCAGCCGGGGCAGCGAAGTCTGAAGTCTAAATTTGGGGGCATGAACTTTGGATGGAGGGCAGCCAGTTGACATCACCGTGCAGCTTCTGAATGGCCCTCCTTTTTTGTTTTTTTGGGGTGCTCGATCCCATGTGTCAACACCCACCCAACTTTAGGGAACAACATGACCTTAGGAACCATAGCATCTATCAACCTGTCAGGATGGCTATTGGATGGTCAAGTACCATGGCATCTATCAACCTGTCAGGTGGTGGTAGACCATGTCCTCCATGTCCGTTCGCACATCGGCCACCTGATGCTTCGACCGACCGAAACCGCATGGCCACCTGATGGCTCTCTGCATTGGGATTCCTTATTTGAGTGAGCTTCGCTCTCCCAAGCCCCGTGAGTGCTTGGGTGAAGCAGGATCGAGACTTGGATCGCTGGTCGAACCTTCACAGCCATGGCTCAAGGTTTTTAAGTCCAAGCCCTTTGGAGCTGAGTTTGTCAGTTTCATGTCCATGGCCCTTTCATGGTTGTTTCTTGGTGATCAGACGGATCAGGGATCACGGCGAGTTGGCGACGGGATTGGCGGGTGAGACGCATTCAAACATCTTACCTGGACCATCCTGTCTGGGTGTCCTGGCTGGACTACCCTGTACTACTTAGGGATCTCCAGCCAGGACACCCAGACAGGATGATCCTGGTCTAAATCGTTTTGGGTTGGGAGGACGAGTTCGTTCGTTCGGGTGACGTTTTCCCGTTGTCCCAGTCGATCGACGTCGGAGCTAGTGGACGAAGTTCTGGGCATCCAAGGGTTCTTGTGAGTCTTTGGATTCGTTGGTGTGAACATGGGAAGATACCTGAGCGCAGTTCATTGATCGAAGATCAAATCATGTGTCTTTTGGACTCAAACTCCGCCGAAGATGGGTTGTGCAGCAGAAACTTCAGCTCTATGCCTGTCTTTTGGATCCTTTTCGAGTCTTCTTGGGCTGGAAAACCCTGCAAAAGAGTCCTGTTTCTCACCTTTGGACAGACCACCGCTATTTCTTCTCTTCAGAGTACCCTCCTAAAACCGTCCTTTTCAAGGCCCCAAACCGCCCGACAACAACGGCGCGACGATGTCGCTTTGGGCGGTTGGCTGGGCGGTCGGGTTGTGGCCAGTCAGGTTCATCTGCCTTGCTTTGACGCTGGCGGAGGCGGGCGTTCCTATTGGAAGCCAAGCCAACCCAAGGCCCAGCCTCACATGCTGGCTGGCAGGCTTTAAAGGTGACACGACGTATGCTCAATGATGGTTCACGTTGGACAGCTTTGGACACCTTGTGGACTCCCTCGACTCATCCTCCAACACCCACAGCCCATTTTGTGTTCTTTTCTGGACCTCTGACAGTCTGACAGTGTCCATTTCGCAGAGAGTCTCCTCCACCTCTGGTCTGCTTCCTAAGTAGCAGTTGGAAGCCAGCCAAGCATGTTGAGGCCATCGTGAGCGAATCACCTCAAGATGAATCTCTGCAGTCAGCTGTGCCTGGTCAGCAACGCTTTCCATTTACGACCCAATTTTCCCGATCGCCTGACAACCGGAAGTGATTCCCTGAGACCACGCAATTCGCGATGCCGCGCTCTCGCGGACCTCGCGACGGCGAGCCCGGCGTCGAACGGCGTCGAGGAAACGCCATGAATGACATAGCTGGGACATATTCTCGATGAGAACACAGGAAGTTGCATGAAGGAGTAACTGAGTCTCGCAATGCTAGGCAGGCCAGAGCCCCTTTTCACGGCTGAACGCGAAACCAGACCCCCCCCTCAAACTGCGGGTTTTTCTCCTGGACTAGCCAGACCACAACTTGGATCTCCAGCGACGCGTTCTTCACCCCAACCCCATGGTCCAGGGCCCTTTGACCCGTTTCTTCACCCGGAACCCGGTTCTTCACCCTCTCAACCGAGCGCGAAACGAGCCCGCAAACGCACCGCGAAGACGCTTGGAACGAGGCCCCACGCTTGCTCCTCTTCTGGCCGGTGGATGGGTCGAAAAGGACCGTGGCGCTGGCCTCTTGGCGAGGTGAAAGCACCAGAATGCATGGGGGTTTTGGGGAGGCTCCATCCCACACCATCCCACCATTCTGCGTCCTACCACCCTCCATCTGCAGGTCTCCTAGTTTTGAGGGTTTTTTGGTTGTAGGGCCTAAGAAGAGGTCCCAATTGGTGACCTGGCAGTGTCGGGTCCAGTGCTGGGTCATTCTGGGTCGTTCTACTTCCAGGGCAATCCCTCAAGGTCCGGTCAGTTGCGAAGAGGTCGGGCCCCCTGCCATGGAGGCCTCAAAAATGCTTATAAGGCAGTAACATATGCATATTTCCCTGGGCCCTGGGGCTCCAACGACCTCCGTTTCGCTTCGAAGATGGGACAGGGGGCCTCAAACACCAGGGTCTTCAGACCACCGGTCACATGAAACACATGGGACAGGAGGCCCTAGGGTTTGACATGGTTTGACCACTTTGACCATCAGATGTTCAGAAGTTCCTAATGCTCCGACCTTCACATGGACGAGATCGAAGGTCTTTCAGGTGCTTTCTTAACTGGAGCCTGGAGTGCGAGTCCCGTGCAAGTGCGAGTCCCGCGCCGATTTCGGCCGATGGGCCGAGGTGAAGAAGAACGTGAGGTATGTGAAGATTCTTGGCATGTTGGAGAGATCATGAGAGATCCGACTTGAGGAGGATTCAACAGCATTTGGGGCTGATTCCAGCCGACTCATTGACTCCTGTTGATCGACTGTGAGCACCTGCCCCCAAAAAAGGCACGAAGCCGCCCTTTTCTCATTGGCCGAAGCTACTCTCCCTGGAACAAACATGGGGGATCGTGGTGTGAACCCCCCCTGTTTGGTATTTGGATTTCATAGTCCGAAATCGGGGTCATGCCATCTGCTTCCATGCTCGAATTCTCTCCTTTGGGTGGAAAAACCCTCCGGGTGGGAGCCGATTTGTTCAACAATTTTCGAAGCCGGAATCGGGTATATACAAAAGACATGGAACAGACCCGGAGAGACATGTTCATGATGACCTTTGGACCACTTTGGGGAGAGTTTTTGGGTCAGTTTCGCCACACCGGAGCTCCCGCACCTCTTGGTGTTTTCATGGGGTTGCCTTAGCATGCAAAGGGAACACCATGGAACACCTATTCAAGGGTGTCTCCGGCGGTTTTGTGTGGAACAACCATGCCAAAAACCACGACTCCACGAGGTTTTTAGGACGAGACTGGACCTGGGTCAGACTGGACATGTAGGGGTCTGTCTCGCTTCGCCCCAAGGTCCTCGTTGGGCAGGAACTGCTGCAAAGTCTTCCTGGCCCACTACAAAGGCAGGATGAGCATCCCTGCAACGTCCCGAGTTCTTTTTCGAGTTCTTTCCAACATCGCACCCGACAGCAGCACCTGTGAGCAGGTGGTAATGGTATGATATAAACAGGTCTACAGCTCGATTTCGGCCCGCCTTTCTGAACCAAACAGCAGGGAACGGTCATCCACGTCGTCTTCGTGTGTTTTCTCTATTAAGTAAACACACACCCACACGCACCCACACCCCACGTGCCGTTCCTTCACGGGCTCCACTGACCAGCACGGCGCCCGCGGAACGAGCACCAGGAGACGCGGCGCCCTTCGGCGCGGCTTGGTATCGGCGGAACGTGGTGGGAAACCTCAGTGCTTCAGGCGAACTGCTCCGGTCGGTGTCGGGCTCCGGTGCGAGCGGTGGTGACGCTGAAGACAGAAGACGGGATCGATGATCGAGCCGTGTTTCTCGGGTGCAGGTGTTCAGCTTCGAGGCTTTTCTTTGAGTATAGGCACGCTTGCTCTCTCTCTCTCTCTGTCTGTCTGTCTGTCTCTGTCTCTCTCTGTGTCCCTCATTTCACACACTTCGATGCTGCGCCGAGTCGAGTGCGTGGAGGTTACAAATTCAGATTTATGCAAGAAGCATATGCCCAGTCTGAGTTGCAGGACAGGGCGAGTGAGTTCCATCCTGCTGTTTCGCGCGGGGAACACGTGGAGTGACTAGGGGTTTGGGACCAAGTTCTATCACGATCATTGACAGATCTGTGTGGCCGATGGCATACCTGGATCTTCCAGCTGTGCAGAATTTCTGCCTTTTCATATGTTTAATTGTTTGTCTTTTTGTAAGGTGTCCAGTTTATGTAGGGCTGAGATGTTCGACTTAGGCGAAGCATACCCCGAAGCATACCCTCTGAAAACGCTACTACTGTATATAGTACTACTAATTACTTTGGTCTTCACACTGTGCGAAGCATACCTTGAAGCATACCTCCGAAGCATACCCCATAGTCAAACATCCCGGCCCAGGAACGTCAACAAAAATACAAAGCCATTTGGCCATTTCATCTATAAAACCCGATCCAAAGGGCAGACATTTTGCACCGTTGGCGGGTGCAAGTTTATGACAAAGTTTGTGAAACGGAATTCCAAGATCCATGCACTGGGTGCAAACTCAAATCGGCGATCGGCATATATAGTTGGCCCAAAAGGATGGAAAAGCTCTTTACAGGTATTCTTCCAAGACCGTCAGTAATGAGCAATGATCATTGGCCGTGGTCTTCCTCATCCGCCGTGGGTCTGGGGATACATGGACGCCAAGTTGGTCCGTTTCTTTTTGCATGTCCTAGTTTTCTACCAGCGATGTGTGCCATGAGAAACCCAGTTCTCTCCTGGTTGTCCTCGGACCTGAAGAGTATTGGTCGAGGTTACAGCCATGGCGATGGGTCCAAAGTTGGAGATGGCCCACCATGGCATCCTGGTTTGACCCACAACCAGATCCGTTTCACGTACGACTTGGGGTTCAGGAGCCCTGGTCCAGCAGCTACGACTATGTCTGGGGCTTGGATAGTGATGTGGACCTCACAGGCAGGGGGGGTTTCACCTCGTGCTCTTCATTTTCGGAAAATGGACCAGTTCATAGCCTTGATGCACCGATTGCTGACCGATTCTGGAAGAAAGTTGAGCCAGTTGCGGACCTCGACTCCAACTTAGCAAGGCTTGCCCAAAGATTAACTGCAGTTCCCATCCGGAGAAGGCCGCACCAGTGGCCTAGGCCACGCAACAGTGGCACTCATCTCCGCAAACCTCCGTACCATGATCACCCTGCCCTAAAAGTCTGTGTGACCCTTTTGACATTGGGAAAGAACCTGGTGTTATATCAGAATTCGTCAAGCACAAAGAGTTTCTCAGCACCGGACGAACAATCTGATGCTTCGAGCCCGCACCGGCCATATGCCGCGGCCATCACCCCGGCCGAGCTCGGCTCTGCGACCTCAGGGACCAATTTGACGCGGCTCTTCGAGTTGACGAGGGCCTCGAAGGCCTTGATCGTTGGCCCCACCTTCATCGGCTCAGGCGGTCGGAAGACGTGCGAGCTGCGAATCGAAGCCCGCGCGAGCTTTTGTCCTGGGACAGGTGTGAGGTGAGGTGGTGGTTGGGTTGGTTGGGTTGGAGTAGAGCATGGCTGGTGGAGCGTTGACCAGAGTTGCCGGTCAACTGGTGGAGCCGACCTGGGTGGCTGGAAGGAGTTGTGAGGTTCGGATGGAGCGCAACACTTAGCTGTCGACGTCGAACGGTCCAGCGTTGGACCCTGGTTCTTGAGGTTCGGTTTTTTTCGGTTCTGCAGACGTGCTGTTCTTCACGTTGGTCGATGAGGCAGGTCCAACATGGTGAATTCCCAAGTTTCTGATCCCTGGATCTTCCAGGTGTGCAGAATTTCAGCCTTTGCATACCCGATCGAAAGGGCAGACATTTTGCACCGTTGGCGGGTGCAAGTTTGTGACAAAGTCTGTGAAACGGAATTCCAAGATGAAAGGCAGACCCTTCCCCCATGCACTGGGTGCAAACTCAAATCGGCGATCGGCATATATAGTTGGCCCAAAAGGATGGGAAAGCTCTTTACAGATATTCTTCCAAGACTGTCAGTAATGAGCAATGATCATTGGCCATGATCATTCTGCCATGAGAAACCCAATTCTCTCCTGGTTGTCCTCGGACACTGAAGAGGTTACCTCATGGAGCCGATGTTCCCTCGCCACCGCTATCGCTCTCCGTAGGTGTACCTGTCATAGCCACTTAGCCGTTAAGGGGTGTCCAAAAACCCACCTCTTGAAGGCCCTGGCGGCCCTGGTACCAGATGCATGGAAAAGATCCCGTTCTGTCGTCCCCATCCGGGGCTCCTGGTTCCGGACACCCGCAGCTTCCGGGCACCCGCAGCACGGCCCCTGTCCATCGAGCCTTTCGTGAAACGGAGGAGGGGAGCGGTCAAGCCGAACGGTGCCGATTCCGGATCGGAAGCCCAATCCTTTCGGAGAAGGGCGAGCCTGAGGGTAGACCAGTGGCCCTCCAACCCGGGAAAAAGACAGATTGGTTTTTACATACCAAACACATCAAAACACCGTCACTTTTGCTAGGTAAGGCCCAGGTCCTTGATGGGTTTCCCCTGGATCAATCATGCTGTGATCTTTTCGGCAGGTGTGAATCAGAAGCACCCTGGTGGTGACTTGAAGAAGGCACCTGTTGTTCAGAACACCACGCGACGGCGAAAACCCACGCGATGACCGTGGACCGGACCCGAATCCGGAGGGTCCTTCTGGGTTTTTGGAGGGACCGGGAAAGGCTTGTTTTCTCGTTGGGATCATTCCTGATCATTCCAAGAGAGGTTGAACAGCCCGTCTTGTCGCCCATCCCGTATGTACCACAGACCAGGGTCCTAGTTCTGGTCTCTCAACCTCTCTTGGTTCCAAAAGGAATGCTTGTTTAGGTCTGTCCGCAGGTCGAACACCCGACAGAAGGTCGGTGGACCGATGGGTTCCATCGGATGAACCGGACTGATCGACCCGGGTGTTTCACGAACACGGCGGGGGGGACCCTTTCCGAAGACGAAGCGCTTAATTTCGCATGTGATTTGGGGGGTTGAAATCGAATCAGCAGCCATTTGATGAACTGCTTAGACTCCGGTGTTGGTAGGTTTAAGCCCCAAAGCCCCACCGTCCGGGAGGTCGGGAGGATTCTGGGTCGAAGGGTTCCGGACTCGGAGACGGTGGAACACCGCGTACATCCACCGGCGGGGCGGAGTGGGTTTGACGAGGTTTTGTTGCAATATTCTTGCTACTTATATACCGTTTGGTATCGTTTTGTCATGTTTTGTCTGTATCTAGTACGTTTTTTTTTTTGGGGGAGGTTCATTTTTTTGAATATTTTTTGGATTCGGTGTGTTTGTCTAGTTCTATGATTTTCGAGGACTTTCTTGTTTATCTTGTTTGTTCCTTTCTATGTCGCATGTTCCGTGGTGTATTCTTTTCTTCCCAACCCAAGGGCCAGTGCCGCGGGATTCCAGTCGATGGATCTACGTCTTTCGACCATGGGCGACCCGTCTCGGTCTCTGAGGTTTCTAGAAGACCAGACTCGACCATGAGAGTCATCAAAAGAATGGTCTGACTGACTACAAAAACGATCAAACATGCATGATTTCAGGAATGCTCCTGACTGCCTTTGAGGCAAACAACTGGTCGAACTGGACATGGCTCTTTGGACCCTTACCGGGTGTATAGTCATGAGTCATGATGGGGTAAAATGAGTCAAACTTGGACTTGCAGGGGACGGTCACCAGACGTATCCCCGCGGTAAGGGTCATTGAACAGTAAGGGAACACTGGCCATGGGCGGGAAGCATTCACTGAATTCTGTTTGGAGGGTAGATTTCAGCACATTTCATGTACCTCATCTCGTTGCACCGTCTCATTTGGGCGCGACAGGGCAAGAGGAAGATGCGGCAGGCGCAGAATTTGGGGATGGAGTATGGATGGGATCTTTTTGAGAGGCTTTGAGGAAATCTCTTCAAAGCGAAACAGATTTGAGGTACTAGAAGCTACGAACGGGGCTCCTGGCATCGCTACTAGGAGCAAGGACGCTACTAACTAGGGCCAGGGGATCCTGGCCGCACTACTAGGAACAAGAAGCTACTAGTAACCAAGGGCATCGCTACGAACGGAGCAAGAAGCTACTTAGTAGCTCCTGGCCTTACTACTAGTAGCAAATAGCTACTAGTAACAAGGGCATCGCTACGAACGGAGCAAAGGACGCTACGAACGGGGCTCCGGCCTTACTACTAGGAGCAAGAACGCTACTAGATGCTACTAGTAACAGATTTGAGGACTCTGGGACTCGATCGGTCTTGGCACCAACACTTCGCATGCGCACGTTGGCGGAAGGGTATGGAAGAACCGACCGGGACGGGGGGTTGAATCGGTACGCAATAAGAGGTCCAAACAGAATATATATAGTTTTATTCCAATTCCATTCTTCTGGTGATTTCTTGTGGCTCCTATCCATGTTTCATGGTTTTTAAGATTTGCTGGGGCTACTTTCTTTTTCAGTTCGTGAGGTGGATGGAACATGTCAAAAAGCAATCCAGTGATCCCCAAAATAGATAGAATCACACACCCTCTCAGTCCTTTTCATGCGTGGCAGACACTGCATACGATCTACAGTATTGTATATAATATATATTTGGGATTCATGATGCGGAACATCTCTACCTGGAAAACCCTAAACCAATGGATGTATTCATAATATGTTTTCCCAGTCTCAACCCACATGTTATGTAAAAACATCTCAAGCAAGCCATCTTGGGTTAGTAAGCGTTTGTTTCAATTAGCTTTCCAGGTGGAACTGTTCCATGCTTCATGTTGCAGATGGCTTCTGCTCCGCTGAACTCTCGCTTTCGCTTCACGCCCTGCAAGTCACGCGGGTCAAACAGACGGGGGCAGATCTGCCAATCGCTCGAGCCCTTCGTCCGGCCGAATGGAGCTTCAGAACTGCCCAAAGCTCCCGACGATGAAAGAAGAGGATGCACAATTCGGAAGTATTGGGGAAACATCCGGAGCTTTCGGGAGTTAAGATTCACGAAGAACCACGATGCACGAAGAAGATGCACGATGAAAGAACCGTCCGGCCAATGTTCTTTAAAGAAAAACGGACGTCTTTGGCACAATTCGGACGTGCACTGAGACGAAGAATCATTGGAGTAACTCGTGGCACGCGTCATGGAACTCCGGGAAGACCCACCCAAACCTATAGGCATCTTAAAGAGGATGTCACAGAATAGATGGCACAAGTTACCCCAGGTTTGGTGGTTTAGTGGACCCCCATCTGTCTAGGACATCATGGGGTCTCACGTGCCATCGAACCTCTGAAACCACTGCATTTTCGGAGTCAACCCATCGGATGGTGCAACTCCTCACTGTATAAGCCAAAAGCCTTCCCAGTGAAAACACAGCGCTTGTGACACTTGTGACACCACCCGAATTTCTCTTCCCCCGTGGAAGAAGAAGTTTTCACGATGAAGATGTCAGACAACATCCGGAGGTGAACACCAGACGAACTCTAGCTTCAGAAAGCTTGGTTTGTGCATGTAAATTGCCGTTTGGAGGCTTAAATTCCTACAGAAAACACAGATTCAATTCAATTGAATAACCGATTGCAAGAATCATTTGCAGGTTTCATGGGTCGAGTAGCAGGTTTTGACTCAGGAAATCACCTGAGGAGCTTCAGAGGAGCTTCTCCCGCCAAAACACCGTCTTTTTCAGGGCTTTGACCTACGTGCCACGTGCCGGCCCTTCCACCAAAGCGGTGGCCCCTTCAGGTGAAACGCAAGTGGGGGCCCGAGCTGGGCTGGACCGAGGGGGCCTTGAGGCGTTGCCGGTGACCAGTGCAATGCGTCCCTACAGTTCAAGTCGTCGTGGGCCGGGGATTCTTGGGAAGAACAGGGGGGCATCGATGGGTGTGGCTCACAGAATCCGTTCTCGTTGTTTTCCTTCATTTCTTTTTCGCTAGCAGATGCCATGATTGCATTCTGCAATGCAGGGGCGACAATGGACCTGGTGCAGCCCAGGAATGAGAGGGCACGGAGTCTGCATGAGGAAGAAAGGACCTTCCACATGGGGTGGATGGAGGTGGTTTGTCAATGAGTCATCGTGAACGCTTGCCATAGATCGATGATGGGTTCAAGCGTTTTCCAAAGAATGGCCCACTCCGACCGTCTCCGAATCTTTACTTGTCAAATGGCTGCCTCATTCGGACGTCAGGGTCCATGGCCCAGAGCACGGGTCCTTTGGATGGCTGATTCCACCCACCCAGTCACCCGGATCTCCGTCCGAAGCGTTCGCGTCGCCAGCTTCAGGCGTCGCCCGCCGGCGCAGCGGAGCGTGGAGGCCAGGGGTGCGGGGGTCGTGCCTCAGGTCGAAGAGGTCCGGACATGTCACCGCACCACCAAAAAATGGCGTGGTTCATAGGCACCCCAGACAATCGTCCCCATGTTTTTTTACGAAAGACCATCCAAGTAGCATCTTCCCTTAGTTTCACCACCCTCACCAGGCGGCGGTGACGAACACCGTGTGTTTCCTTTCTTTTTTTTTGACATGTTGGAACAATGGCCGGCCCTAAGGATCCAAGCACCCTCGTTTCGAAGGTGGGACTGGGGTGGGAGGGTCCAAGTACCTTTTGAGGAGGTACTTGGATCCCTAGAGGGTTGCTTGGGATTCAGGCTAATTATTAGAGTCAATGCCGGGCCACGAAGTACAGGAATCCCAGCATGGGGTGGGATTAGGATGAACCATCCAGGTGCCAATCCAGGTGCGTAGACCGTTTTTCTTCACAGAAGAAAACAGCCTGCGACTCGAATTATCAGGGGTCACAAAGGGGTGGTGTTTGGTCCCTGAGTGAGTGGATGTTCTGGGCACCCCTAAGTTCGGCACCCCTTTGTGACTCCTGGTGCCAGATATTTGATTGGGGAGTCTGGCTGGTGGTTTCGAAAGAGAGGACCCACCCACTCAAAAACCGCTCCCAAGCTACCGTCATTTTGAGATTGGTCACCCAAGACGACTCCTACCCACCGTGACCCGTGGCGACCCCCGTGACCCCCGTGCTACGCCCCCGGGACCGCAGCGCCGGGACCGGACGGGCACGTGGCGCGCGGTGTGGGGGACGGACCCGTCTCCAGGTCTCTCCGGGTGGTGCGGAAGTGGCCGTGACTGGATGCGATGATGGGGATGGGGAGGATGTCTCAAGAAGGTTGGAAGTTGGCTGTGAAGCCTTGTTGACATGAACAGGACGCTGAAGAGAAAGTGACCCAGCGCTTCAGCTGATACAGGTCTAGGTTCCCACGATTTGAAAGCGTTTGAAAGGATCTCATGAAGAAACACCTGGATCTTCAAACGGCACACATTGCCAGAAACATGTTTCAGTGAAAAGGACGCCGTAATCAAACAATTCGCCGTTTTAGGGGTCGCAAACATGTGCTCCAAATCTATGGACGCCTAAAGACGCGGTTTGGACGCACGGTTTCTGCCGGTTTGCCTGGTCCACCAGAACAAGCACCCGCCGTCTTTGGGAAGAGACGCCGGAAATACCCGGCCCTTTTTGGCTTGAACATGCCATGATTTGTGCCGTTTCGATGATCCAGGCATGGGCCATATGCTTTTCATGTTTGCTGGGAAAATCGGATCGAGAGGACGCCGAGCGCTCGACACACGGAGTTCACAGCGATGAACGGACAGAGAAAACAGGGTCAAGCAAGGCCCCCCCTGGTTTTGACGCATAGCCATCTCCAGAGGATCTCAGATGCTGCTCATCATGTGCTGAACCTTCAGATCTTGGCGCGCAAGTCTTTTTTCCTCTGGTGCCACACGCCCTTTGCCGCTGCTCAGAAGATCCTCCTTTGCTGAAGGCGTTTCAGGAGCCTTCTCAATCACCTCCGAAGTACTTGCAAACTCACATGGAACCAGAGAATTCACGGGTTTCGACCATTGGAAACCGCAGACCAACCCAGTGGTGGACTGGTGTGGCTTCCTATGTGGTCCGTCAAGGCGTTGCTACTCCCGAGGCTGATGCGCACATGGATGATCCTCCGGAGCTGGGTACCTTCATCGAGGCGGAAGGGAACCTGTTCCCTTCATCGGAGCTGGGTACCTGTCCCCACGCTTTCATGAAGTGGTGGCAGTGCTTGCTTTTTGAGACCCTGGCCATGTACTATCCTGGCACATAACAAGTTGGCAGTTTCGGGGATTTCTCAGTATTCTTTTCTGGAAGGGGGGCCTTCAAGCACGCAGTTAATGCAGTGCAAAACCAGTCTGAAACCTATGTGACAGGACCAATTGTTTGCATGAATCCTGCAAGGGCGGAGAGTTGGGGAAGGACAAGTTGACAAGTTTTAATGACGCCACCGGTAGAGAAAAGGGCCTTCCAGAGGATACTTGCTACTTACAATAGATGGAGGTATTGGACGAGGGAAGAACGTGGCATGAAGGAGATGATTCAACCAATATCAGAAAGGTTTTGAAGCAGGAGCTTGGGATGAAGAATTGAGGAAGAAGGCCTCGCCATAGGATGAGGGTTGAACAAACAATAAACTTTGTAAACAAGGAAGGCCTTCCGGGCTATGTATTATTGTAAAGGATGACTCTGCAACCAAGACACAGTATCTTTACACAAAGACGGTCATTGATGTTTCATACTATATCAGAACACATGCTTACCCTATGTTAGCAGCATTTGCGTTGAAACAATCGTAGGAGATTAGGGAAACGGACTAAATGGGACATGAATTAATAAACACTTACAGAGGATGAGAACCTTGAAATAAGGATTAGTCAAAATTGAGTTCGTGTGAACGCACACACACAAACGCCTTGCAATAAGGGTGGCTTTTGGAAAAGGGGATGCACTTATATATATATGTAGGATAATCAATTTCATAAAAGGAAAGCTCTTGCGTCGTCTTGCGTGAATGCTCTCCTTCTCAAATGAGACTCTTACAAACGACAATACTGTCATCAAAATATGGGTGTTGAATTCAAGGAAGGAATGTTGAAAAGACATCGACTTGGGAAGGGAATACACTCAAGAAGGATGACACTTGTTGGTGTAGCAGAAGATTCTTGTAAAGGAGCATGCAGCATAGGTATTGAACAAGGGGGAAACCATGGGGCAGGTTTACTCTCAATGCCCTCTGCTTGGAGGAGTGGGGGTGGACCAAAAAGGGATCCAGCAATGTTTGGCCATGCGTCAAACCATCAAACCAGTTTTGGCGACTCGGAGCGAACACTGCACCTCGGAGCGAGGGGTGCGCTGAAAGTTTCGATTTCGTCCAGGCTCAGATGTGGTTTGTATACCATGTAGACCCAGACTCTGCCGACTCACGTGCCCGACTGCGGCCGGCCTGAAATGGGGTAAACCACGAAACACGTGCGACGTCACGTTCTTCTGGAGCCTTTCGACGTCCGACTGCTCAGTTCCGACCTCACGCCCACGACGTCCGACGCAGGGCGAGAGGAACGATGGAGCTTTGAGCCACTCGGCGGCGTTGCGGTTCCGCGTTGGGAGGTCGACGCAGTGAGTCGGGACGGCACTTTGATGAGCCTGGGGGTGTGAAAACCTGAAGTCCTGTTTTTGCCCCACTGAAGTGAAGCTCGGAACTTCGGGTCACAGTCTAAGACCATGGATTTGAATTGGGACTAGGAATGGGGTATACCGGTATACCCCTATGGGACCCTAGGAATCGAACCGCAGCGTTGCCGAGCGTCCTTGCTCCGTTCGTAGCGATGCCCTTTGCTACTGGGTTCTGGAACTTCACTTCGGGCCAAAGATTGATTGGACTTCAGGAACTTCACTTGAGCATGAACATTCGCTTGGGGGTGCCCTGGCTGGACTCTCCAGGATAGTCCAGGATGGGCTCCTGAGGTGAAGATGGTACAAAAAGAGACTGATGAAACTGGCACCCCAGACTCACTTGACCTGGAAGTCATGATGGCTCACTTCAGCTCCTGGACAGCTGCACAGACCCTGGGTCGAACGGCACCCTGTCTTGGCGATGAACGGCAGAGACGAGGAGCAGAGGCATGGAGGCATGGTGCCATGCAGGTAAGGAAGGGACTTTCGACAATGCCAAGTCCCAAGGTGATGGCGGAGGATTTGGATGGATGGCGGAGGATTTGGATTGATCCCCGCTCAAGCTGGGAGGTGCTTTTGGTCATGTCGACTGACGACCGCGTGAGGAAGAATCAGGGTCGCAGGGTCGGCTGGTTCATCGACGAACAAACCATCCGATCACTCCCTAGGACAGACAGGTCGCTGAAAAGGAACATCTCGGTTGGAATGGTGATCTTTCCCTAGGCTTCCAACAACCGTTTATAGGCTTGACCGAACCAGCTAAGGATTTTACACCACAAAAACCAGTTCAACCATTTTTCTTAATGGTCTTGGAAGGCTAGGGAAGTTCTCTTCTTTACGTGGGCAACATCAAAAATCGTCCTGGGGAAGGATCTTTGCGTACGAATTGTCACCCTTCTTCCCCCAGAGCCGCATTTGATGAAGGGATCCACCATGATCCACCTGTCGGACAGTTTCTGGGATCGCGTTCTTTTTTTTGTTCCGTGACCATTTTGGCCGTTAAGACTCTACGAGATATATACGAGCGACTAAGGGGAATCAAGGGGTCCTAAACCTTCAGCCGTGACCTGGCCCATCCCTGGGATCGGGCCCAAAAACCGGTCTTGAAATACCTGTTTTTTGTGGTGGGAAGCGATCCAATGGCATTCCAGTTCGTTAGCGCTGCGAAGGATTGTGGATGACTTCGGATTTCAGGATCTTGGTTGGCACGGCGTTGATCACATGATCATGTTTACAGTATACAGTATACAGGATGTTTTTGGTGAGATGTAGGATGAGGTCCTTTTTCCCATCATTTGCTGGACCAATCTTTTCTTTAAAACCCCAACGGAGCGCCACCTGCCGCGACCTCTGCGACCTCCTCAGGCGACGTGGCCAGCTCGCGCGCCGCGCGCGCCGGCATTTGGCGCTTCGAACGGCCGGATCCACGCTGCGTGCCGTGGCGCAGAAGCAGCGAACGGCCGCCGGGGGGGGCTGGCGCGGGCTGGCGGGGCCAGAAGATTCTAGGGGTGCAGGGGAGCGAACCCAGGGAGGTCTGCAGACCCAGACGAAGTGAAAGACGTCGCGCCACCGAATCCCGAGGACTTCCAGGGCAGACATGGGGCTGAAATCCGCTGAACCCATTTTCACGACGGAGCTTCGTTGAACTAGAACTGCTTCCACGAAGGAAGGTCTTCGTGGATTCTTTCCCATTCCGGCCGCCGCGTGGACCGCACCGCGTGGACCGCATCACACGTGGGGTCGGCGCCTCAGCGGCTCGCAGTGGGCGAGCGGCTCCGCTCGCTGAAGGACTATCGCCACACGGACTTCGTGGAGCTCACCGCGCCGCTGCTGAGCATGGCCGCCCTGCCGTTGATCTTCAACGAGTGCACCTGGGACGGGACGGACGGGGGGCGGAGACCGGTGACGCGGCGCTGGACGAGCGGTGCCGAGGCGCTTTGGGCGTGGCGAACGGGGCGTGTGTGGGGAGCAGTACACTGGTGGGGGGGGGCGATGAGCGTGGAAGTGAGGCCGTTGATGTGGGTGAAGAGTTACATGGGAGACGGAGATGGTCAGAAGCCCAAAAAGATCGAGCATCAATTTAAGAATGGTGCCTGATTTTTGGCACCTTGAAGGAGTGGGGTCCAAACACTAGAGAGATCCCCAACCAATTTCTTTTTGGTCGATTTTCCTTCTTCCAGGGGGCGTTTCGATGCTTTTGAAAGGTCTCCCAACGCTAATGTACGCCCACCTGTTGGAAGATCTTGGTTGATGATTCTGCCATGGTTGACCCAGACATTTGTGATCGGAACGAAAAGGAAACAAGGCCCTAGCCTTCAAAGACCATGTAAAAGAATGGTTGATCAGGTTGATCTGGTTGTAGCAGTCTAAAACCCTTATAGATCTTTATGGTAAATCAATGGTTCTTCGGTTAAAGATGGTTGTTGGATGTTGTTGGAATGCCCAGGGCCCCCAGGGAAAAACATCCCCTGACGCTTGGGTGACGCTTGGCTAAAGACCGACGCTTGCCCCAGAGGTGGGTGACGACGTGAAAACCCTTACGGTATAGCTTAATGGCTCCTTATATTCCCTAGGGGTGTCCATTCCCTCGGGCTTACCGTGCGGTCCTGGCCGCCTCCGTTTCGAAGATGGGTTGGGGTTGGGGTTGGGGTGGGTGGGTGCATATTGTGTGTGCCCTAGGGAACGTGAGGTTCTCCAAGCGATCACAACTTGGAACTTGGATGTCTATATTGTCAATATTTACCCCTGCGGATTGTTCCGCCGGCCCTTTTGGCTGAGGGGAGGGGGGGGAGGGGGGGGGGGGGGGGGGGGAAGTTAGACTTGTCAAACATCCGCGCCGTGGGTACAATGAGACTAAAAACAAAACTACTACTAGGATAGCATACAAACCAATCACCTAAAACACAAGGCGCCCAAGGGCCAGCGGATTATGGGGAGACACACGCATTTGGGGTGTTTACGATACAGGAGCTCCTGGTGGGTACAGGGTTTGGGGTTGGGAGTCCAGTCGACTTATTCACAAAGAGGGTCTTCATGAGACCCGAATTGCCTTCGGTGGTGCTGACATGTCGTCGATCTGGGAGTCACAAGAGAGGTCGAGGCTCCTCACGGGCGAGAGGTCAAGCACGACAGAGAAGCCCCGAAAGGTTCGGCAAGGATATATGGACATGGCAAAGTCAAACATTTGGGTGCGACTAGCTAGATCTTCCAAGGATGCACATATAATAGCTGCTTTTTGTTGATGGATAAAACCGCAGCCATTTGAGGCCGACATGTTGCATAATTGGAAGACCTATAGGTGGTCAACACATGTCAAAAAACCACCTGGTCCAGGACTGCTCCAGAGTGGGAGGACCAGTGCTTGGTCGATCGCTGGTACGGTGCGATGTGTCCAGCTGAAGCACCCCAACACCGGTTCGTCAGTGGGTTTCGAATGCTGCAACGTCTCGCAATCTCGCAACTCTAAGATGCCCAACGTCTCGTCCCAGGTAGCAGTTGCATCCATGAGAAGTCAGTAGCAACCTCAGCCGGTGACATGCTGCGAAACACGCCTGTCTTTTCGAACGCTTCAGCTCCGCAGAGGGAAACACCGCAGAACGTCCAACGTGGAGACGTGGCAAGGATCAAAGGCCCTAGCCGCCCTAGCCTTCAAAGACCATTAAACAATGGTTGAGTTGGTTTTGTAGTGGAACATCCTTAGTAGCATAAGGGTTGCTTGGGATTCAGACCATCAAGGGTTGCTGGGTAGGCCAGGAATCCTGCAAGTTGAATAGATGGCACCCTCCGTCACTTGCTTCTAGAGTTACTGGAGCCCTTGGGACGCAAAAGCCGCTTTGATTCCAACCAAGCACCCCAAAAAAAGGCAGAAATGCTGCGTTGAACGGGTGCTGTTCGGGAACCAAAGGCTATTCCCTAAGGATCCAGTCGTACCCTCGCTTCGAAGGTGGGACTGGGGGCCCCGGGTGCCAGCCAGTCGGGTCCCGTACCGAACCTGAGGAGGTACTGTACGACCGGATCCCTAGGGATTAAACCATTGGAGTCATTGGAGTCTTAGGGATTAAACCATTGGAGTCACTGTACTTGGTACTCGTACTGTACTTGTACCTGAGGAGGTACTGTGAAACAAGCCATTTGGAGTCTTTGAGTCCTTTGAGTCCATTTGGACGCAGCTGACCTAAGACTGGTCTCGACCGGTCTCCGAACGCTCTCCCTTCCCTTCCGACACTGAGGATTGGGGGCTGGTCCGGGAGCTGAGAGGTGAAGTGGATCGGAACAGGTTGAGTGGGGTTTGATTTGGGCCCATCAGATCCATCATGTACCAGCACCTGGCTGGAAGGGGTCACCTGGCTGGTTTCGCCCCTACTACGGGACCTCCAGACAGGACACCACTGTTTCAGGTCCAGGTCCTCGTATTGATCAAGATTCTACATGATTGGCTTGGATGTTTTGATCACTTTGATCATAGGATGCTTGAACATGCCGCCACGCCCACGACCACGACTGGCACGACGAACGACGAAGCGGCGAAAGCTCGCATCGCCACGCCCTTCGAGAAGACTCGACGGGTCAAGCGAACGACAGGAGGACGCCGGTTTTCACCGCCACGACTCACGACGGCCTAAAAGGTGTTGGTTTTCACCGCCACGACCGGTTTTTGGACCTGAACGCCCAACTGGGGCAGAGCAGAGCTGCGGAAACGCCACGTGGACTGAGGATATGGTCTGGTGCAACTTCTTAGCCTCCAAGACTGGTGCCTATAGCTGCTGAGCACGTGCAGACAGGGGGGTCGTTGAAGCAGGGGAGGGGTTGTTGATTGATGCAGACAGATGAAAGATCATTAGCACGAAGATATCCTGACAGTGCGAGGGCTTTGTGAGTCTTAAGAATTACAAAGGGCAACCCTTGTGAAACATGTCCATTCATCTTCCATCATGCCCCAACTGGTCCTACGTTAGAAAGGCAACTGCTTGAGCTTGAGCCCTCAAATTCATCCAACATTCATCGAGCATTCTCAAACTGCCGTGGAACAGGATTCGCCTGCACGTTTCCTTTACACAATGGGATGTGTTGACCACTTAAGTAAGGCATTGTTTACATGGGAAACTTGTCTGGGTGTTTGTGTGTTTGGCATTTTGCAGAGGGGTACCAACAGCATGCAGATTAGCAAACATGTGATTTTGTCGTCACATGTGGACATTCTTATTTCAGGTGGTTTAGGCATGCCGGGATCCATTTTGTGGAACACTTGGCACCTTGCGGAGAAACATGTGCGGGGAAGAAGGATTGACTGAGTGCAGAAGATAGATGAAGATAGACTGTGGCACAGACCTGAAGACGGCCGATGAAAGGCTGCCTCTACAAAATAACACATTCTACAAAATGGGTCGTGCAAGTGTCATTCGCCAGTTTGACATCTAGCTGGCCTGCAACAGGTTGCATCTCTACAGAATGCATCATGCATATGCACTTTGGAGTGCTGGTAGGTCATTTCCCGAGCAGATCCCTATCCATACTTTTTTGGAAGCGCACCATTTTGTAGTGTGCCCCTGCCCCAAAATGACCGTTTGCTAGGCCCGACATTGGGTTTTGACAGGATTGTGATTTTGCAGACACCTGCAGATCCACTTTTCGAACAACTACAAAATGCCTCACCTCGATAACAGGGAATGAAAAAAAGCCGTCGAGGGAACAGCCAGGACTTGCTCTCCCTCCGATCCCCTTCGTCTCTGTCTTTTTCGGAACTCGAAGATCCTTCTCTGCATCGTTTGGCCATGACTCAACTGCAGAAGTTCATCCGAAGAGTCAAGTTGATATCGTTTTGCTCGGTTTCTGTGGTTCCTCGAGGGACCTGTGTGAGCGCCCTTACTGTCCCTAGTCCATGGCTTTCGCGCCGAAAGGTGACTCTTGGTGATTTTCATGAATTCAAGGTCGGCAACTAACAAGGGTTTTTGAGCAGTCAAAGCTATAGTAATCCTGGAGTAGATAGTAGAGCCAATCCAAAAACATGGCTAGTTGCCCATTGTTTCAAAATTTTGGATTTCCCCATATTCTATCTACTCCAGGACGACTATACCCTAGCCTTCAAAGACCATTGAAAAATGGGGACGACCTGGTTTTGTAGCGTAAAATCCTCAGTAAAACAGCTGCTGGTTGTTCTGTATATTTCAGGCTTTTGAAATCAGTGCTGGCTCGAATCCTACCGGCCTACGGGGGTTATGATGAACCAGCGACGATCATTTGAGGTTCGACACCTGCAGGTTCTCATGTCAAATTCATTGGTAAACGCAGTGCTTTGTCATGCGCTTTGCCTTAAAAAAGAACGTCTTTTTCGCGACACCTCAAGTTGCCTGCTTTTTGCGTAACTAGCTGTCCCCAGGCAGGCTCCGTGTGCAAGTCTTTTTCCTCGATGCCGTTATCGAGCAAATCAGCGGCGGCGCACCCATCCGACATGGAGCTGCTACAACTACGCAACAAACGCCAACTCAACACCAACAGTCACCAACAGAAAAGGACTTAGTTTCTGTTTTTCAAAAAAGAAAACCTCAACCGCACATTGCACCAAAGTGTGAACAACGAAAAACGAGTTTCGAACACCTGCTCCCAGTTTACCCAGCCACGATCTGAACCCAAACCTGTTTCGCGAACAAAAGAAACTCAAGGGTCAGAACAGTCACGAGTTAAGCCGTCTACGTACTGTTCTAAAGAAAAAGGGCTGACGAACCACAAAGGAAGAAAACACAAAAACGAGGAGGACAAGGAACACCGGACAACCGAAACAACAAAACTAAAGCACACACCGTGGCTACGTCTTGAGCCTTCACGCTCATGAGACGTATGTGAAAACAAGAACGAAATTACAGCACCCCCCGATGTTTTCTGTTTTTGGGCCCCCGTTTACGCTATTGCTTCAACTTGGTTACAGTATCTTGCGATATGCTGTTACGCAATGCATCGACATGCCATAACATTTGGCTCAAGGTATGTGCGTGTGAAAACAGCCGCTCGATCGCCTTTGCCCACTCGCTCTTGTGAACCTTGTTGGACTGTGAGTTGAATCCAGGGATACTATGCATTACACGCTCCACTGCGGGGAATTTGATCCTCACCCCACCCACCCCCCCCAACACCATGCGATGACACGACCAAGCGTCGTGGAGTCCAAAAATGTCAGAAAAGTGGGTCCGGTTTTCAGTCCCTAGGCAAAAACATGACCAGTTGCCCATTGTTTCAAAATTTTGGATTTCCCCATATTCTATCTACTCCAGGACGACTATACCCTAGCCTTCAAAGACCATTGAAAAATGGGGACGACCTGGTTTTGTAGCGTAAAATCCTCAGTAAAACAGCTGCTGGTTGTTCTGTATATTTCAGGCTTTTGAAATCAGTGCTGGCTCGAATCCTACCGGCCTACGGGGGTTATGATGAACCAGCGACGATCATTTGAGGTTCGACACCTGCTCGGAGTTCGAGCCTCACGGCCAGAAGTTGCTTAACCAGCTGCTCAGCCAGCTTGGTTTTTGTAGAAAATTAGAGTGTGAATGAATGTGATGATGACGATGATGACAACGACGAGGATGACGACGACAACGACGACTACGATGATGATGATGATAATATAATAATGTAATCACATCTTCTAGGGTCTCTCGTTTCGCAGCACTGTGCAGCCTGACTGTGGAACGTTTGAGTGCAGCTGAGCTTCCTGATCGTTTGTGCGAGCCCCTCTCCCACGGTTCCTTTCCTGAGAAATTCAGAAAAGCATACGCTGGCACAGCTTGATTCTCAAGTGGACACGAAGCTGGAGTCACTGCATCCTGCCGCTGGCCGCTGAAAAGTCGAGTATGACATGAGCTGATTGGTGGAAACTTTCATATGGGGATTTTCAGCATGTGTGGGACCAAACTAAGCTCCTCTAATCTTCTCGTAAGCCAGCTGCTCTAGCCTGCCGTAGCTGCCCAACTGCGGACTGTCATGGTGAGTTGTTGGGTGTCAAAGCACCAAGACAGGCAAGAAAAACGACAGGAGCAGTGGAAGAATCTGAGCGTCAACTGCTTGTCCGGCTTCATCAGCAAGCATGTCACTCGCCGGTTGCCACACTGAGTGTCGCTTGCAACTTCATTGTCTATGCTTAAGTCTGACCAGACGTGCCCACTCTGAATGAAGGCCCAGCTCCGATCTTGCACCCATTTTTTGAGCTTGCCATATCGAGCTGCTTTCTTCAATGAACCAGGCGCTTTCTCAGCTCGCCAAATCTGTGCAAGCACCTTTCTGACCAGAGCCAGAGTTGACCCAAACAGTGCCACATCGCTTTCACTCCAACCGAGGGGTCAACGCCGGAAACGAACGCCAACGCGCAGGGTCGGAAGGATTCACCCCGAAGGATCTTCGCGCTTTCTTCAAGACCCGGATTTTGTGGGAGGAAACCATCCACACTGGTGTTTCCCTAGGGTTTATGGATTGAGTAATGAGTCTTTCTCACGTTTCCCTAGGGTTTATGCACATCAATTCCCTGTCTAAGAGAGGTTTCTTGGGATCCATCTCGGCGAGGGCTGAACTCGCCACTGCGGGCTTCGACCACCTCGAACTCGGAGCGGAGCGGAGCGAGGTTGCGCTTTGTTGGATGCCACGCCGGTGAATCACCTCAATTGGAAGCAGGCGCCGGTGAATCACCGTCTCAGACGCAGTTGGTGTCATATGTCAAAGGTCATGTAAACTGGAGGGCAGAGGCAGAGTTGGTACCATCGCGGTGATTTGGTGGGTTGGTGGGGCAAGGTGGGCGCAAGTCTATGCAGTTTCTCCAAGTATAATATAGTGCTCTGAAAGGGCATAGCTTAAGGCGAAAAACCTAAGCTGGCTGGACTCCAAGAACTTGAGATTGGACAGACTCGGTCATGACTCCTCACTGACAAGAGGTCACAGAACAGAGATGAACACAGACGAGGTCTGGTCATGAACAGGTCAGCTGGCTGCTGTGCCTAGGAAACGAATTTCAGGAGCTGGTCCACCAAGAGTGCCAAATCAAATTAAAGGAAACCGTGACACCCAGGACACCATTTTCATACCTAGCACTTCCAGTCTGGGTGCCTGTCTGGAGGCCGAAAATAGTCTAGCCAGGACACCCAGAGGCTGATCCTGGTATGTCCAAAGAGTTCCAGGAGCAAGGACGCTACGAACGTAGCTCCTGGCATTATAAAACACGAGGACGCCACGAACGGAGCAAGGGTTATCGGTACTAGCAGCAAGGACGCCACACGAGTATTGTTGTTTTTTATTTTTTGCGTGATTAAGGCCACACTCGAGGAGTTCCATGTTGTTCTCGGGAAAACATGGGCCGCCACCGTCGTTCACGACGCGGCTCGAGCCTCGAGCCGGAGGCCATGCCCTCGAAGCTCTTCTACGCGCCTTTGCTTTCAGGGATCCAAAAACGGTTTGGTCTTCGAAATGCTCTCGTGTGTTGAACTCTGGTGGTCTTGAGTTCCTCAGTGTGTTTGAGCTGTACCTTCATTTCACAGCACTCAGCTCCCCAAAAACGACTTTGGCGGTTCCAACGAGAGGATCTATGTGTCAGGAGTCACAAAAAGGGTTGGTTTTAGTCTCATCCAGGGGCCGTGGATGTTGGGACCCCCCAGAACATCCCGTTCGTGCCAAGGGACCCCGAACGAGCGACACTCCGTTCGTGCTTTATTTTGGATATGGTTGGAGCCCTATAACTGGTATATTATATATGATATATCAGGATATACCACCCAAAGGGTACCTAGCACTTCCTGTCCGGGTGCCCTGGAGTAGGAGACCTGTTGACGTAGGGTAGGGTAGTTTAAGAGCCAGGACACCGGCTCGTCAGCATAATCCTGGTTTTTGCTTGGATGGACGATGGTACCACGACTCAGCCGGGGGGTCGCAAGGGTGCCACACCACCCGAGCGAACCGGGGAACTTCGGTAAGGACCGAAACGTCACCGACCGAGTCGTTCGTCACCTGCCGTGTGCGAAGCCGCGTGCTGAAGGGCAGACGAGCTGAGCTGGTCATGAAAAAAAGGAAATGCATGCATGATTCATGACATGATCAACGTTGGACCTGGTTCTTTTTTTGGGGCAGAAAGCCATTCCGACTAGGGCGCGGGCCCCACGTCCTTTTTTCCGATGCGGAACCGAACGGAGTGGCTTGGACCGGACGATCTTCCCGCTGCGCATCGGGTTCGGTCGATAGGCCGGGCACTGTGGCCCGATCGAAAGCGACATCCCAACAGAGCCGGGTGCTTCAAGGATCTGTCATGCCCAGAGAGGTGACATGTTTCCCTACAAGTCAAAGAAAGGACCAAGTTTTACTGGAGATAGTCATGCAGGCAGCCATACTGAAGGAGGCAAAAGACCAGGTTTTACTGGGTCAGACTGGACTTGTAAGGTTTTGGTGACCTGAAGAAGGACCTGTCACATGGGGTAAATAATTGGGACCTGGGATAGTCTGCATATATAGCCCAGGGCTCCAACCATATCCTCAGGTTCGGTGGTTAGAACCCCTGTCGCACCCACTCCAACCATGTTCGAAACGGAGGGGGCGGCCAGGAGCCCGTATGGGATACAGGGTCCTTCATCTCGCCCCGGCATCCCGTCTCGATGTGTGTGCCAACGCTAGGGAGGGTTCTTATGTTGCCCGCCCTTGGGCAACATCCCTATATTTAATTGGTCTTAGCAGAATCAGGAAGGTCATTGCTTAGAGGGATTTAGATGAACAGGGTCTGTGCGAACAGGGTCTCTGGTAGCCTCCCTGACAGAACAAGCATCATTGATTTACTGCATGAATGGAACCATCCCGCTGACGACGCCCATCCATGCACCCCGCTGAGGACGCCAATCGCGAAGTCCATCGGAAGTATCGCACGGCCGGCTCAGCGGTGACAGCCGACCGGAGGGAGGGATGCCCCCAGGTGTGGAAGGTCAGCTGAACGCTCGAGGTGGTGAGAACCCCCTAGATTCCTCCGGATTTGGGTCCGATCCCTCCATAGATTCGTTTTGGGAGCGAAAGGGGATGTCGTACTTTTGGATCAATTGGAGGTTCCTGAGAAGTCACGGACGGGGATCTCTGGACGATCAGCCTTCGTGTGGACGATCCGCGCACGCATTGGGAGTCAGGCGGCCAAGGGATCCATCACCACGACCCGACTTCACCGAAGAGGGGACATCACCCTATAAAAAAGCAGGTCCTTGTGCCCATAAGAAACAGGCACAACCTGAGACTCCAGGTAGCTTAGCTGGGCTGGGCGTAACTTGAGCACCGCCTTTGATGCTCCTCTTCTGTGCATGCAGCTCTCGCCCCTGGATGATGCCACCGCCGTTTCGCTCCCAACAAAGGGGCGCCCAAAAAGACCGCCGTCCTCGGCAGGGCGCGGGGCCATGGCCATCCTCCGGGGCGGTGTTCGTCCGAGACGCGCCCGAGGCCGCTTCTGGGCGCACATGAAGACGTTGAGTTGCGTCGCAGATCCGGAGAGAACGACCATCTCTGCCGAGGTGGGGGCTGTGGCGTGGGTGCGTGGTGCGCGGTGCGCGGTGGGTTGGAGGTGGGAAGGTTTGGGCCTGGGCCCATTGGGAGCCCGGGCCTCTTTTTTGTTCAGAACACTTGGAAAACTGCTGCATGGAGGGTCCTAATTAGGATTCTTGGGGAGACATGTTTGTTGAAGGGGTTCCTTTGATTTGTGCTTGATTGATGCACGCAGGTCGAAGCCCCAGAACACGAGAGGAGGATAGGAGGGCAGCTCCGGGGTGTCTCACTACTTCTCTGAGATGTGAAAAATCGATCTCCATTTTGACCAGACAAGTGGACAAAGGCCGGGGGGGTCTGTTCTAATTCGCCTCTCTGTCTCCATCCGAGTCTCCGCCCGTCCCTGAGCGATCTTGAGCCCCCCCAACGAGGGGTCTTGGGGTCCAACTGCAGTACCTCCTGAGAAAATGCTTGACATTGAGCTTGAGGATATGGGACAGGAGCCCTAGGCAATCTGAAGATTCGTTTTCGTTTCTTTTTTTTCCGGTGAAGGTGAAGAGATGAACCCGGCTTTTTGATGAAGACCTCAGCACCAAGAAGGGCCTAGTTCTTAGGGATGAGCAAGCAACATCCTTCACTGGTCGGAGCTTTTGTGCCCGTTTTAAAAACCACCAGGATAGTGAACTCTCGCGGCCAAGTTGTTCTGGGGCCTCACTGGAATTGACATTGGACACCCCGTCCCAACCAGAAACCAACGCTGGGTTCCTGGCCCTTGAAATCCGGACATGTTGGGACCGGGCAGTTCCATCCACACACCAGACCGGTCTGCTTCACCGGCACAGGGCGGTCTTGATGGACTGGTCGAGCGGTTTCAGGTTTTGATCACCCTTGGTTTCTGGTTTGACAAGGGGTGAAACAAGGGAGATCGCCTTGACAAGGTAGACGGCCAAGTAGACCCCTCCACCTCAGGGGTGACAAGGGAGATCGCCTTTTGGCCTCCCACTCCACTGGTGCAGAGCGCTCGCCTTTGGCAGGGCCTGGCGCCGAGCACGAGGCACCTGGTGCGGAAGGAGCCCAGTCGGGGGCCCAGTGGATTCGGCGGAGTTTCCGCAGGTTTGTCCCTATCTATCTCGGAGGTCAGGGAGATCCTCTTTGTTTCTTTTGGATGGATGGATGGATGGATGGATACAGCTGATTCAGCTGATGACATCTGATATCGGATGACATTTGATTCGCCCAGACATTTCAACGGGTTTGGAGGTGGACTTTTCCTTTGACCACTGGCTTTGAACGAGACCCCATCTTTGGAACCATGGATCCAGGTAAGGGCTTAACGGGTGTGTCAAGATGGAGGGTGGCAACGCCATGGATCCAGCCTTGTGGTCGAGCTGTTGGAAAGAAGACCGTCGTTGGGGTTGACCCTCGCACACAGCGATGATGGCAGTTCTGTGCGTGGTGTTTTGTTTGGAGTCAAGACTGCGTGGTGTTGACCTCTGGTGTTGACCTCTATGGCTCTTTCAGCTAAGGAGAATTCCAACCTGAGATCAGTGGATGCCCCAAGTCGGGATCCGTTCCAACAGGATGCTTCGACTCCCTGGAACTCGGACGTGGACCAATGGCCCCGAAAGGAAGACCGGTTAGCATCCAGAATCTTCGAGCCTCCGACCAAAACGGATCAACCACGGCATTTTACCCGCCTATAGGGCCGAATGGGGCCGAATGGGGGCCTATACACATGGAGACGCCGTACTTCGTCCGCCAACAGTGGGCCATGTGATCTAAGCAACTCTGTAGTTCGGCTCCGGACGGACTCCAACCCATCGACTCCAGCGGTGAGCGTGCGCCAAACCCGCTTTCTGAGCTTGATGCTTGACCTGGCTTTCTGGAGCTTATAACGGTGTTTTCTTTTTCAGAACTTTAGATACCTTTTGGCACAAGGTGCTGGAGCCTTTATGCTTTGGCTTTCTTATGCGCCGAGACCCAGATCGTCAACTCCTTCGTCAGTGGGGTCAGTCTGGTCGAAGTGATACGCCGTCGACGCCGATGACGCCGAGGCCATTGATCTTCCACTTCGTCTCGACGTCCAGACGATCCGGACGGTGGAGAGGGATCCGGACTTAGGAAAGAGGGAAGAGGGGAGAGGGAGCCTCTTTCAGACCGCGAAAAGGGTGTCCAACTTGGCTTGTGAGGTGGTTTTCCTCACCTGCAGATTTAGGGGTTAAGTATGCTAAGAACACCTCAGTACCAACTATACCCAGTCAGTGCAACTATTCCAGCATCCTTTTGCATCCGTGCAGGTGTTACCCAGATGTTACCGCTGTTTTTGGTAATCAGATTTCCGGATCTGCTAGTAGAAGGGAAGACAGATGGATGAAGGTTTCGACACCATGTTTCACTCTGTTTTCACCTTTTCATGTATATATATATATATTGTGGAATTCACAGTTGGTAGCAACAACTTGCAAACAGCGCACCTTGCGCTAAGCAACACAACCAAGCTTGCAACTCAACTAGCAAACAACGCACCTCCCAGTGCCCACTCTCTCTTTTCCGCCGCCTCTGCCTGAACATTTGGTGGTGTCCTCACCACGGGGAATCTGCTATCGGTGTCCTCACCGATTTCGGATCAAGACCATGCAAGGCCCTCCCGCACCGCCCGACGACCTCGTGCCTAAGGTCTGCGGATGAAGAACGAACGGCCTCCGATCATGGTTGAGAAAGGTTGGAAATTCACACTCCCGAAAAACCTAAGAACTCTGTTTTTCTTCTTCAGAAGGATCTACTGCAGCATGACCTGTGGATAGCCATTGCATTCGGGTTCTGTTATCAGCCCTTTGTTTGAGAACTTGCATTTCATCATGGAGTTGGTAGCGTCCCTTTTGAAGGGTGTGACGAAGAAAATGACTTTGCATGACCTTAGTTAATGCATCCGCAAGCTGAGCTCCTGTATGGACCCAGCGTAGGGTCACGCCCTCATCCAACATATCTTTGATCGCCCTGGCCTGAAGCTGTGTCCTAAATTCTTGGCAATTTGGCTGAGCAGTTCTTGTGACGAGGTCATAGAGCGATTTGCAGTCCGTGACTGCCACTGATTTTGGAAGTTGCTGAGCCAAGTACGTTGTCGAAGACATCGGGGCATGACTTTCTTGGAGCACCTTCTTTGGTTGTTTCCAGTTCAAGTTCGGATTCAGTAGCCAACCCCAGAAAAGTCTAATCCATGACATCTGGTCGAGACTAGCTTGTAGGGATGTCGTTTCAGCCGCTAAAGTACTTGTCACTATTTTCTGGATTTTCTTGCAACCCCAAGACAGTGGGCTCACGGCGCATTGGAAATTTTCTGCGATGTCTTTGTGAGTGGCCATGATGATTACTCCTGTATGGCTCTCTGGACTTTTGGCTGATGCGAAAGATGCGTCTGAGAACATCAAAAACCTTAAGTCTCTGATGGGGATTGGTTGGATGCGTATATGGGTGTCTTTATACCTTTTTGCTTCATGCAACACACGATTAGCGTCGTGAAGGGTTTGAACAGTGGCTCTATTGATTTCACTTTGAAGATAGCTCAATCTGCTCGAGAGATCAGGGCGTGTGTTGGTTGCAGCATATTGGAGACTACCAATTAATGCTCGGAGACTGTGTTTCTCTTCGGAAGTGACAGGTTCCGTCAGGCATGTTCGCCTGTTAGCACTCATGTGGATAGGCTCAATTTTGCTGACGTATTTACTTTGAGACATGATGATGCTTTGATCTGGTTGTTGGGAAATGTCGACTCCCGTGAAGGTGAACTGGCCTGTCTTCTTGCTGCCGAATGGAAACTTGGCCTCGAGCTTGGAAATCTGTTGATCGAAATATTCATCACCCCCACACAAACCATCGTCGACATGGACTCCTAGCACTCCGGATGGCATGGTTTTACCTACTTGATATAGGATGTATGCGCATGGGTCGAATGGCGCGGGGACAAAGTTCAGTTCTTTTAATGTTCGGTCTAACTCCCTGTGCCACAAATAAGGGGCATCTATCAAGCCGTATGCTGATTTCTCCAATTTGCATACCTCACCTGATTTCAAGTTCATTGCTCTTCGGAGTTCTTCGACAGGCTCGATTGCCAGGATTCGGTTTTCCTGGGTCTTACCTTGTAAAAAGGCAGCACGGATGTCGAAGCTTTTGAGAGTCCATCCCATAGAGCTAATTAGCTGTACTAGTAGCATTTTGGATTGTTTACCTAATGTTGGACTGTCACGGGGTATTGAGTCAATCTGGGGGTCCTCAAATCCAAGTACTACTAAACGAGCCTTCGCCTTGTGGGTCTTCGGTCCAGGTCGACATGGGATGTCGCCGTGGGTTGACTGCTCGTTCTCCAAGGGTTTCCAAATGCATATCCATCGGCATCGCAAGATTTGCTCCTGATTCAGCTGATTGCGGAAGATCTTGCTCACCGTTCCGGTGTCTAACCAGTTTTGAATTTCTTTTGCCTTTGCTGAATCGAAGAGAGCTTGTTCGGATTTCGACAACTGATGGAGCTTCACCTCTGAACGGTCACGTTTTGCGTTTGATGCTATCAAGAGAAACTCTTCGTTTGGGTGTTCATTTTTCCAACTGTTGATGTCATCTTCGGAGATGATAGTTTCCCATTTCCATCCGGTGTCATGGGTTTCTCGGAAGGTTTCGTCTTCTAAACACAAAAGGTGATCACAGAGGAGCTCGTCATCCGGGTCATCCGGTATGGGAATTTCTGCAGGTGCAATGCTTTGAGGATCGTTTGACACGTTTCCGCTTGACCTGGATTCTATGTCTTCGATTGGTTCTTGGTCTGGCTGTTCTTCTGAGCTGCTTGCTGGTCTCGGTTCGACATTTTGTGTCTCTGGCGCAGCTTCGATTGGAGTTAGTGGTACTTCTGGGGTGTCTGTTGGAGTTATTTCCGTTTGTCTTTGGTTCCTCGCTTCACCTTCTTCCTCTACGCCTGGAATAGCATTGAGTCTTTGTGGAATATCGAGTTGTTCCAATGCACTCACTTCTCGAACATGTTCGGGTGACACTTTGACTAGGTTTCCCATGTGATTGCACCATATGCAGTGTTGTCCTTCTTGCTGGATGATCCGGGCTGGTCCAATCCAGCCCCGGGTGGATGGCGTTTGCCTCCAGATCATCACCCATGTTCCAGCTGGGTATGTGCCTCGATGCGGTCGTGTTCGATGCAGCATTGCTCTCCGAAGGTTGGCATCGTTGTCAGCCAGGTGGAATGCTTTTCGCGCAGCTTCTCGTTTGGCTAGCTTTTCTCGAAATTGGATCCCTTGTTGGGTATCTTCCTCTGCCAATAGGTGTGATGGGAGACTGTAGTCAGAAGTGATTGATGCGGGGACCCGGAGTGTCTTTCCAAATGTTAAAACATCTGGGGAATATCCTGACTTTAGGCTCAACGCGTTCTTTGATGATGTGCACTGGGCTAAGGCAACTTGAAGGTCTTGATATGACACAATGGGGAAATCTTGCTCATATTTACGAAGCATGGTTTGCAGGATGTGTCCATGACGTTCAACCTTTCCTATCTGCCAATGTGCTCCGGGAGCTGCCACGATTGATCGAACACTGAATTGGGTCAACATGCTGGAGAATTCACGAGATGTGAATTCTGTTCCGGCATCGGTGTGGAGTTCGATTGGAGCACCGGCCCACTGGAACCAACCTGTCACAAGTGCTTCGATTGCTGCTTGACTGTTTTGACCTGGGGATGCACATGCAACGTGGTAGTTTGTTCCATAGTCTATCACGTGATAGAAATGATATGTTGTTCCATTAAGGGCGGTGTACGTTACTCCATCAATTCCTATCCGATCATTGAAGTCGAGGTCATCCTTGATAGTTGCTGTTCTCTGTACTTTGGGTTGCTGTTCATTGGTACATGTCGAACATCTCATGTCAAGGATCCCCTGACTGAGGCATGGGGCATGTCCCTGTTCTCGGAGGACGTGGCTTAACCGGGCATGACTAGGATGACCCAGATTCTGGTGGAGTTTGATCAGGAATGTCTTCTGTTCCGGGGACAGCTGCATGAACTTGGGACCATGCTTTTCGCTCCTAAAGTCTGCCTGTTGACTCTTGGTGGTTCGTGGAACACTGCATCGATCGCTGTCCGGGTGGCGGTCCTCCATGGTCTCCGGCACATCATGCGTCGGTTCATGGCTTGCAGGCTCGCATGCGGTCTCTGTCACCGCTGGTGGACAGCCATTCGAAGTCCTTTCATTGTCGGAACTTCGATTGGCAGCGAACATTGTCACATTGATTCTGGCGGCATGCGACGGTCTGATCAGTTGCCGATTCGACAATTCTTGCCAAAATTCCCAGTCCTGCTCAACTCTAATTGAAGCATCAATCCTACTTACGATGATGGCTTTTCGAAATGGTGCTTCGTTCCTCACAAGACCTTGGGGGGGGACCAACCGTTCTATCAGAGCCTTTACATGCAATGACTCGCTTGATGTGTTTTTCCGGAAAAACTTCTTGAAGTTGTTGAATGATGACTTGATCAGTGAGGTCGGTCTTTCCTACTCTTCGCAACGTGGGTTTTATCTTCTTGAGTAAGATTTCTAGTCTTTGTTACCGAGACTGGTTCGCAGGAATGTCTTGTTCGGCGGTCTTTCCATCGATGCGGCGGCGCTTCACTGTTCCATTCAGAACCTCCAAAGGCGTTGGAGGCTGTCGGGCATTCGAAGAATTTTGAGGAGGGTTGATGCGAGGTCGCTTCGACATCTCCTCTGGCCTCTCTGGATGATCTCTAGCATGGCTTACTAAGATTGGAACATATTCCTTTTGCTTTACCTTAGTGATCAACTTTGCCACTCTTCGAGCAAACTTTCGAGGGTATCTTTCAGTGAACGAACTGCATGAGATCCTACCTTCTTGGGTTTTGATCGTTCCAGCGATGGCCCTGTGCTCATGATCTCGATGACACGTGCGCCCATGGAGAGCGTCATGCATATCGATTGACGTCGTTCGAACTGCCATGCCCTTCTGGATGTGCAGACCTGTCTCTGGACATTTGAGGTCACCTGCATTGCACATGTCAAAATGGGCCTCCAGTGTGACTTCGAACAGTTCCTGCAACATTGGGGTCTTGAACATCAGGGATTGCCGTGGTTGTTCCCAGTGGAGGTGTGTCCCCTGACTCCTGGTGATTCTCAACAGCACGATCCCTAGAGCTAGTTCATACAAGTGGGAGTCTCTTTCATGTTGAACATGTTCGAAGAGCTCAATCGATCGTTGTTCATTGAACCTGTTCCAAGCACACCATGGACTGCATGTCGGGCTATACCATACGTTTCGAGGTCTGTTCATGAACATGATCTCAAACAGGGTTTTCCGACCATCTGGAGTGCTGAGGTCCCCTTGGTTTAATCCCATGCGAACAGCTTTCCCATGGAGATTTTGGACTTGCCTGGTTAATTCACTGTTTTCATGGCAAAAGACTTCAACCAAGTGAATCAGGCTGGCGTCGGACGACCTCTGGCAACGATCTTGCACGGACTTGGCTTCTCTTGAGATCTCTCGAATCATGCGGTGTAGCTTGTCCTGTTGTTTGACACTGTCTTGATCTTGAGCTACCAAACCTGGAGAAGTCTCAAAAGTGTCTAGCCAGTCAGTGGTCATGAACTTCGAAGGTGCGCTACCACCTCCTGGAGTGCACTCTCCAGTGACAGCATGCGGTTCTGGAGTGCTGCCATGTCTGCATAGATCGTTTCCGGCTCTTCGATGACTTCCCCAATGGGTTCCCAGCTCTGGTCCGCCTGAAAGTCGTCGAGATCCCGTCGGGTCACAGGCATCTGTGCACTCGATGCTCCGGCCTTGGCCTTTGGCTTTGCCGGTGGGATGCTGTGAAGCGGGACTTGGACTTCTTCCTGCTGTTCGAGTTCCTCGATGCGACGATTGATGTAGTGAATCAACAGCTGATGCTCTCCTTTGATGCTGGTCTGGTACTTGCTCACGAACCACTTCACATACTGTGGCTCGTTCTCCCACAGCTGCTCGTAGGTCTTGCCAGTGTGAGCTTTGCCGAACTTCACTAGCTGCTGTCCCTGTTCCTCGATGGGAAGCTGTTGGAACTCCGCTAGTGACATCTCGTCGGCGGCTTGCTGCGAGAGCTGCTGAACACGGGTCAGGCGAGCGAGCATGTCGGTCTTCGGAGGCATGGCGATCGACGATCACAGGTGGACGAGGGTACTCACACGTGCTCGAACAGGAGAACTTCGGAACTGGGCTTCCTGACATGTTCTGCTTTCGATTCGAATCCGATTGGGACGGCACTACTCGATCTGGTCTATTCGAATGTTCTTCGAATCGATCAATCAGATCCCGGACGGATGGCTTCGATGTCAAATTTGTCTGAGGTTCGAGCGTTTTGCTGTTCTGGTTTGTTTGAGGTCTGTCTTCTCGTGACTCGCAGACTAATGGCTCCTTTTGCGTCTCGGACACATGGAACGTGTCTGCAAGGCTTTCGGCCGAGGTGTCACTGCAGGGCTTTGCCAGTTCATTCAAGTCAAGGACATACAGTCCTCGTGAGTTGACCTGGATGGGAATTGATCTTTTCAACAGTGAGCTGTGAAGCAAACCCTGACGAGTGTCAATCGTGGCACCGACGGCACGAAAAAGCGTGTTCGACAACAAAAACGGTGTCATACCTGGTACAATGGCTATCTTCAACTTCAGTTTACCAATGGGCACCACTAATGCATGATGACTTTCCAGAGTACCATGGTTTCCGAATCGAAACTTGACATGACATGGACACCTTGACACCTGTTGTCGAACTTCTTTGGATAGATTGTTTATCAATCCTGCCACGAAGCAGCTTCCTATGACTGTCTTGGTGGCTCCGGTGTCGATGATACCTAGCGAATTTGAGATCGCAAAATGCGACTTTGCATCGGCTTCAGGCTTTCGGCTCAATGTTGATTCACTTGAGCTGGTCAAAATCTCTGCAAGAGGCGGCTTGGATGCTCTATTCCTGAATACATGCATGCTTTCATCTTTCCCAGTATTGGGTTTCTCAATGACCACCCCGTCATTATTCCCAATACAAACCCCTTGTGATCCCAAAAAACACCAAAAACTTGACAAAACAGGCACAGTCGCGATGGGCTCTTCTGGAAGCTCAAGAAACTCCAGGGGAAGGGCATCAATCCCTTCCTCCAAGGTCACCAGCGTGGGAGCCGTGGCCGTGTTGGCCTCTGAGGATCGTCCGCGATCTGGGCATTCGGCTTTCCAGTGTCCACGGCGGCCGCAAAGGCGACATGAGCTCTCTAGGATCCTCTGTTGGAGAGTCTTTCGGTTTCCCGGATTGCGACTTCCCGAGTAACCCTTTTTGCCCTTCTCCCAGCCCTTGCCACGGGATTTTCCCTTGGCACCACTCGAAGGCCAGAATCCACGATTCTTCACACGATCTGCCAATCTCTTGCGGGCTTCAGCATAGGTCGTTGACGACAGTGCTAAGTCAGCGTCGTCTTGGATGGCGTCCAACATCGACTGTTCATATTCCATGACCAATGCAGCGTCCTCGTCTCCTTCGTTGGCCCACTGTTCAATCAGCTCTTCTTCGTTCCAGTCCTCCGCCTGAAACGCAGCATCTTCTGGCATGGCGTCACCTCCCATGGTGTCCTGAGCCATGAATGCATTGGCCTCGTAGGTCTTCGTTCGACCTCCAGTGACCTTTCCAGCATGCACCTCTTGGAAGAACTTGCTGCCAAGCAACTTGAGGTTGGACACAACATCTCTGTATTCCAAAGACCCTGAGGACTCAACGATCAACCTCTTCTTGTCCTCAGAGCTCAAGGCGGAATTCCGCAGCAAGATGTATGCTCTGAATTCGTCAATGCCAACCTTCATACCCAACAACTCTTCAAACTGGTGATCATGCCGGGCCAGGTAACTTTCGTTGGTCTCATCTGACCTTTGAACTGTTCCGTAGATGGCCCTTTCGAACCTCTCGAATTTGCTCTCGAGGTTCGACTTTCCCCAGATGCCTCCAAGAGCTTCAACAATGGACTTCACGCCTTCCAGGCTGCCAACACGCAAGGTCTTGGGATCCAAGCGAGCCACCCTCTGAAAGGCAGATCCCTCGCATTGAAGGGCTATGCGAGGTGCCAGGTGCTGCAAATGCTCAGGTGGCCACAGCTGAGCCAGGAACTCGACCTTCTTCGTCCACTCCGTCAAGTCTGTCTCACCAGGCTTGAATTGCGGCACCTGATTCCATGGAAGATGGCTCAAGCCACCTCCTGAGGATCCAGCCGAACCCCCTTCCTCCCTGGAACCGCTCATGGAGAGGAGCTGTCAACAAAACTGCACTGCAATCAATGTGATCAATGCTCAACCAAGCACCAATCCAATGTAGCAATGTCAACCAACCACAACTCAATGTATCAATGTTGCTAACGACTTGCCAACTCGACCAATGTACAAGCAGTGACCTCACACGCCAATGTACAATGCTTCAAGTGCAACTCGACGTCAAGCCAACAAGATCAAGCGTTGCAGTTCTCTGACAGCTGGAGCAGGAGCGGATGCTCCGCTACCAATGTGGAATTCACAGTTGGTAGCAACAACTTGCAAACAGTGCACCTTGCGCTAAGCAACACAACCAAGCTTGCAACTCAACTAGCAAACAACGCACCTCCCAGTGCCCACTCTCTCTTTTCCGCCGCCTCTGCCTGAACGTTTGGTGGTGTCCTCACCACGGGGAATCTGCTATCGGTGTCCTCACCGATTTCGGATCAAGACCATGCAAGGCCCTCCCGCACCGCCCGACGACCTCGTGCCTAAGGTCTGCGGATGAAGAACGAACGGCCTCCGATCATGGTTGAGAAAGGTTGGAAATTCACAATATATATATATATATATGGAGGTTTTATATGCTTTTATGGTCGCCTAGCTTGGCACGAACCTTTGTCCCCCCCCCGCCGTCCCGTCCCTTCTTCCGACCCAACGAAGTGGTCTTCCGGGTCCGCGACGGGTCCGGCCGACCCGAGTTGGTCAAAGGACCCGAGTTGGACGGGTACCCAGGAAATCCGTCGGAGCGAGTCGGTTTTCCGGGTCCTTGATAGGTCACTTCACTTCAAATAACCTCTGGCATCTGGTGAAAGCTACCCAGGGAAGTCGGATCTGAAATGCTACGACATCTGAAAAATGACTGGATGACTCTCCAGGGTGGTCGCGGCGCGTGTCAGCCATGTCGGGGTCGACTCCTTCTCTTGTGGCGGCCAGGAAGACTGAGAAGACATGAGGGGTCTTGCGGGGTGAGCTGGTTGAAAGCAAGCGATTGATGATCGAAGCCCCGAAGGCCTTTTTCTTTTTTGTAAGACAGGGACAGGTGAGAGGCCAGATCCGTAGGAGAACCCAACTCACAAGCTCACAAGCTCCTTATGAGAGCAGTCATGCCACGGCAAGTAAACCAACTCACAGTGGTGTCTCACCCTTCGCTGCCAAAAAGAACATCACCTCAGTGTGTATGGAGACCCAAAAGTTGGGTGCGCACTGTGCCAGGGCTTCTTGAGATGAACTTACTAAACCTCTTGGACTGTAGCTGACTCGGTTTGTTTGAGAGGAGCATGGTTGGAGCTGTTTCATGGTTCTGCAGAGGGCCTGCAGGTCTTACCTCGAAATCCATTCGCAGAAACAGAGCCTTCGCACAACCAGTTGGGACTGGTGAACATCCAGTTTCCGGTTCCTCAGGAGATACACCCTAGACTGCGCCTACAGGTCCAGTCTGACCCGGTCAAAACCTGGTCCTGAACACCTCATTAAGTAGTGTGAAGTGTGTTTCTATACCATTGTATACCTAACTCCACTAGAATGTGGTCAAACTGACCTGTAGAGTAAGAGTATATGTATGTTTATAGAGTATAATTGTATATATACAATATTTCCAGACGCGTTCACAGATCGATCGAACATGACCGGGTCTTTCTTTCGCAGAGATCTGGACAGGTGGCCAGATTTCTGCTTTGACAGCTGCTTTGGTGTTGAAGACTCATCCTGTGTGGTTTCTGAAGAGATCCTCAGCCAAAAACCCATTTAGTTGCTAAACTGTTGATGAATCACCCATTTGCTCCCTGATTTGGATGGCAAAATCTCTTCAGTCTTCGGGGTTCTAGTCACCTTTTTGTTCTGAACAGGTGAGGTCAAGCACCGAAAGCCGCAGGACTGAAGCTTAACTAGAACTCTAAAACACGACTCGGGACTGAAGCTGGTAAAGATTCGTTGGTTGTAGAGCTTCGATGGCACGTGTTCGTCCGACAGGTCGTCCAGTTCGATGGGCTGCGCTCTGGGGGGGGGGGGGGCGCCCTAGGTAGGGGGTTTTGAGGGGGTCCTAGGTCCGTACAGTCGAGGCTCTGAGTTCTCAGACCGGTCAGCACCCACGTGCTGGGCATCTAATGACGTGCCCATCTAGTTGGTAATATGTTTCTGTATTTTTCTGAAGATGGGGAGGGGGGAAAGAAGGCGGACCTCAGGTCACAGGATGCCACAGCTTCTCTTGGAAGCACCAAGAGAAGCTGTGCACGAAAAACGACATATACACAGCGTTCCCGGTCCATCCCGGTCCCAACCCTTTAAATGATAACTCATGATCACTCTTCGACCTTTAAACTATAAGGAACCATCAATGGACATGTCCTTCTAGGGGTCCGGATACATGGATGTATACATCCTCCTGGTGTCGAAGTGCATTTCTCGTGGTCAGGGCCGACTCTGTTCCATTTTGCCGAGGGTTCTTTGGGTGATGCATCTACGTACGCTAAAAGCGAAAAAACCCGTCCCCTTGGCCAGGCTGCTGTTGGCAACCGCAGCCGCAGTGCAGCTTTTGCACTGGAGCCTCCTTTGGCACCACAAGCGGCGGAGCCTCCTTTGGCACCACGAGCGGCAGAGCCTCCT